AAAGAATACATTTTTTATCAATTTCTTTGACCAAAATCCAGGTTGGATAAAAAATTGAACAGATAATTTTCATTTGTAATGAAAATTCGTATTTTATTAACAGATATGGGGTTCGATGTCTAATAACGGTTGTCTTTATCAATATTTTTTATAATAATCGTCATTCAGGTTATAAGGAGGTATCAGTCGATAAACTAATTTTTTTTTATCAAAACAACTGTGCCCAGTATATAATATACCAGTGTTATTTTAAATAATCATTTATGCAGAGAGTAAAGTTCAAGGTTGAGAGAAAAAAAAAAAAAAAACTACTTAATTGTAAAATGTATACCAAGCACTTGTCGGCAACAAAGTTCTTGACATTCGATAACTTTGGTTAATTTTCTTAATGCCCGTGAGTTATGTCAAGATACGATTAATCGTAATTTTCGAGCGTGCGTTAATGTAAAGCTTCAACAATTTTATATAACCGTTCAAAGCAAAATTCACACTCGATAATCATGCTTTTCTCCAAAGTCTCTTTACAATCATCGAACAAGTGTAGTCGTCTGTGCTTCTATACTTTTCTTCCGATATCGTATGTGATATGAAATTTCATAGAGCATAATTATATCATGTACAAATTCATAACGGCTAAAATAAATCCAAGCTTTCAACTAGTCATCAGTATAAAGCGAGTAAGTACAGGGTATAGGTAAAAAAACTCCAATGAAAAAGTCTCGAGGTTCATAGGTTGTCCCCCCAAAAATGCGAGGATCTTCATTTGGAATTAAAAAAAATGTCTCGGGACTAATAAGTAATATTATTACACGGAGTGCTTGTCGGGTACAAATATGACATACGCCTGTAAGTATGGTACCTGTGACAAAAGCGCTAAAAGTATACAGATGGTTGGAACGCACGTTTCACCACCGAAATAGATCTAGAGGGAGAGAACGAGAATAGTGCTGCAGTGTACAGTGCGATAAATACATTCGTACCATATGCACATATGGATGTACACGTTAGGTATACGTACGCGTGAAAATATATAAGGTATTTTTCGCGCCTTGTACACTGTAAGAGCTCGGAGGGACAGAGAGAAGCCGGCACGATACGACGCCCCTGTGTACGTAACTATATGGTTGCAATCTCTCGTACTTTGCCGGCTTTCACGGTGTTTCGTGTGCGATGCGAGAGATTACGAAGGGATTGATTGTGTAACTTGAATAAATAAATAAAGAGATAAGCGAGATTTTTGTCAAGTTTAAAAAAATCTTTTTTCATTTTTTTCGCTTAGAAATGCAGAGCTTAGTCGTTCGTGGTGGTGTCGAGGAATGTTAGATTTTTATCTTGTCGATTGTACTGTAACACTTATTTATAGTTTTCAAGCTCGAAAGGAAATTTTTTTTTTTTTTTTTTTTTTTCAACAGCGGAAGTATATTTTTGAATTTCAAAGTAAATAAAAAAAATTCAAGAGCTTTCTCGATTTACGTTTTGTGGTATGGGAGTAGGAACTTTAGTCGCAAGAATAAGTTACAGACGGACCGATGCATCTTATCGGCGCTTAGGCGTCCAGAGGCGACAATAGCCGTACTTACTGATTCCTCGGGAATACATGAATATGTTAGTTCACACATTCACGCGTATACCAAAGGTGGGCCAGTATCGTTGATGCAACTTTAAAACTATGTCCGTCAGATAAGTATTTTGGGGACTCATATCTACGTTTCGACACTTTCTACGAAGATCATCGGGCATGTAGATATATGCGTTCTGACGAATACCTGCTGCAAGAGTGACATACAATGTTCAAACAAAAATTAGTAGACTTATTGTTTCCACCTTTTTAATCAATTTTTTTTTTTTTTTTTTTTTTTTTTTTTTTTTTTTTTTTTTTTTTTTTTTTTNTGTATTGAATTATTACTCATCGGTTATTTGTGTTAACAAATTGTACGAAATTTCTAGGCAACGCGAGAATGTTGCAACGGTTATCATATTATATTATATATAATATTATAAATAACAATAATCTGCGTCACTAAGTCAGATTTTTAAACGATTGGAGCAGTAAAGCATATATTCATATGGAGTAAATCCTCCAGCACAAAGGAAGGTGATTACGCATGAAAAGGTGTGACGAGGCTAAATCAAATGTAACGTACAAAGACATTGTACTATGTACATGTTTGTGAACAAACATATAGGAGAAGATACTTTGACGAGAGGTCAGTACACTATACAATATGGAATGAAAAAAAAAAAAAAAAAAAAAAAAAATGCGTGGATTCAAGACGCGTGCTCGAAAGGTCAAAGTGCGCACCAGTCGATTGATTGCAACCGATAGGAATCTCTCTTTCTCCCTCTCTTGATTTTCAACTCTCAAGCTCCGCCGGACGAGTATAGCATGTTATCACCGGTGTGTGATGTCAATTCTCTCAATCATACGTCTGATAGACAGGCGTTTATTTTCAGACCTCGTAAAAGTGGGGGGGGGGGAATTCACATTGCACGTATATGTATTTAAAATGTACGTATATGATATATATGCAGCGAAAGATTAAAAAAAAAAAGGAATCTCCTATCGATCGGCGATCCGTCGCCCGACTCTTGTTACTTTTACATGATCTTTGCTCGTGACGTTTTATCGATCGCTCAGATTTCTCCTTTGATTTTTTTCTTTTCTACGCGAGTACGCGCGCCAAAATCGTCGAGAGTTTGTACAACCCATCATATACATCGTATCAAGCAAAAGTGGTAACTCGAGCTGTCGACAGCGAGATCACACAAAGACAGAGTAACCGGAATACCCTGTGTAGCTAACCTCTAGGGCCGATGTGATGGCAAATATGCCCGAGTAACGGATACACTTGCTTGGTAAGACTATTCTTTTTTTTTTTTCTAATAACGGTTGTCTTTATCAATATTTTTTATAATAATCGTCATTCAGGTTATAAGGAAGGTATCAGTCGATAAACTAATTTTTTTTTATCAAAACAACTGTGCCCAGTATATAATATACCAGTGTTATTTTAAATAATCATTTATGCAGAGAGTAAAGTTCAAGGTTGAGAGAAAAAAAAAAAAAAAACTACTTAATTGTAAAATGTATACCANCGGAATACCCTGTGTAGCTAACCTCTAGGGCCGATGTGATGGCAAATATGCCCGAGTAACGGATACACTTGCTTGGTAAGACTATTCTTTTTTTTTTTTTTTTTTTTCTTTTTCATCACGGAGCGCGAAACATTTCGACTTGGGAGCTATGTGAACTTGAAACAATAATGTCCCAGAGGTGATTGCCATCGCGTCAACAAGTTGCCTTGGGTTATCCGAGCTTACACCTTATTTAGATAAATATGTTTTCCTTGGCCAGGGCTCGTACGAGCACAACATAATATACTTGGAATTTTCTGCAATTGTGCATGAACTTTCTCGTGTATCTATACACTGAATCTTAAATTTTTTTTTCGCACAACGAGTAGCTTTTTCAGGCAATAAGAACTCGCTACATGTGTACAATTGTTTCACCATCGTTTACGTACAAATAGCAGATTTTATATTATTACATTGATGAAAAAACATCATCTCAAAGGTGGATGCTATTCGCATTGAAAGTAGCTGCTTTCTCGAATCGGCAAAAATTTCTACAGCTCTTTCTTGTCCGCTGTGTAGGGTTGACAGTTGCAGAATTAATAAACCATACCGAAGAATCCCGGATGACTCCGTAAATTGTACTAGCTTTAATATTTGTCCTTTTTTTTTTTTATTTTGGTAACCAATTCATACAGAGCGACTATTAGTGACAGATTTTTTTTTACAACATGTGGAGCAATTGTAGGAAAAAAAAAATTTGGCAATTATTTCGAGGAAAATTCAAGATCCTTACTGAAATGATTGAAAATAACGATTTTACCGTGAAAATATTAAAATCTGGTTGACATGCAAAACTTTGTCAAAATGATCTTAGTACAACCTTAAAAAAAAAAAAAAAAAAAATTAAAATTCTTATCGATACGAGTTATCGTGTAACCGGGGAGTTCGAGGTATCTTTTGCAAGAAAATGTAAAATTTGAAATCAATCACAATTTCAGTTAACAATTTGATAAAAACAGAATTATCTTATTCAGAATGAAATGGCTAACCTGACTAATGTACAGAAGGTCAAAATTCCAAAATATCATACAAATAGTACATACATATATATATATACGACTTGTTATCGATATAGGTCATTTTAAAACCTTTTGAAAATTCTGACTAATAGTACTGAAAATTAAATTTTTTTTCGTTTCTAACAATTTTTTTACTAAAAATTACGGAATTTCAACTTAAAAAAGATACCCGCATTTGAGACTTATTTTTCTTATCATGTTTGCTTCTCATTATTAGTGTAAAAAAAATAGTAAAAAAATTAGGGGATGAACGATTTTTGGGGCTCATTTCTCTTATCTTGCTCGTTATAGTTGATATTCGTAGAAAAGTGAATGATCGAACTAATGGTACTGCGCATCAGAAAAATCCTAAAACTAAAAACTCGAGTATTATTCGAAAGTTTCGAAATGTTTGGATCTACAGTAAATTGTAAAAAAAAAAAAAAAATCGTTTTATTATTATTGAGAAATAATAACTTGAGAGTATTTTTAAATTTATTTCGTAAATAATGAGTTTTCCACGAAATTTTTCGATAAACGGTCCACGATTTACATGCCTTGAAGTTCATCATTAAATCATTAACAGCCGGCGTGTGTAAATATCTGATCGCAACTATATTCAACCTCATTTGAAGCAAATCACTGACCATTAAAACGTTAATCATTCCTTGTCAATCAGCACATTATACAAATGAGAGTTTAATGCTTCGTGAGAACAATAATGCGTTAGCGTTTTTTATTGGTAAGACAATAAATAAAATGTCCATAATTTACCGCTTGTTTTTTTGTTACAAGTTTTGAGCAAAGATTTAATTTTTTCACACTTTTGGTAATAAATAATTGAACGTTGTATTAATTTGCTTGCAGCGAAAGCAGTATGTTTGTGTCGAAGCGCCGACTCATCCTGAAGACCTGCGGCACGACGACGCCTCTCCAGTGCCTGGAGCCTCTGTTGAACCTAGTCGAAAGTTACACCGGTTTCGACAAAGTTGAGGTATGCCATGCACCATTCCTACGTCGTATGAAAACTTTGTTTGGTTGAATTATCATCCAAAGAGACGCTGGCAAAAATATTGCTTATCGCTCGCGGTAAAAAAAAAGCTCCCAACAGCCGTACATGCACACACCGAGAGAAAAAAAAAAAAAATTATACAGCAATTCCAGCAAAAATTACCACTCCGCACAGTTAATCGGATGGAAGTTGGCAAAAAAGGGAAAAGTTATCATTTTTAATGGTAATAATTATTGTTTTGTACTTAAAATTGTAGTTTGAATGGTAAAAATTGTGGTTAGAACAATAAAAATTACCATGCTGGAAGAGCAAACCTTAAAATGATCGGTTGATAAATTTTAACCATAATTTTTACTGTTAAAACAAATAATGTTTCATTGTTTTCTGCCAGCTTGCATACAAGTTACTGTGCGGAATGGTAATTTTTACTGGAATTTCTCGACAATTTTCATTATTTTTTTTTTTTTCACAGTGCACTCTGGCATAAATTATTCAACGGTAGGTATATATATATATACACGTACACCGTAAACATCGAATGAAAATGGCACGCCAACGAGGAGAGCTTTAAAGCTCAGATTCCTCCTAATCCGTCCCTTTAAAAGAATCCGGCTTAAAGCTCATAGCATACCTACACAACAGCGTCTCGAGCGAGCTCGCGAATCGATACCACTCGGGCACCCTCAGTACAGTGCAGGTATATTATACATATACGTATACGTGTGCATGATATACGCGTTCCTTTTCTAAGGAGGCGTCCTTAACTTACGTCCAGCAATTTCTAAAAACAAAAAGCCACCATCAGCGCAAACGAGCCTGTTTTTTGCCCGACTATTTTTAGCGCCCTTCCGCGTCGTCGTGGAAGAGGGATGGAACGTTTGCCCCCTGCAACCAAAAAAAAAACAGCCAAAAGTCGCGGATCTCCGTGATATACACTTTACCTGCATCGTGAGTGTGTGTGGACACGTGCGTCATGTTTTCCGCGTACAGAAAAGTTTTTGCGGACATTATTGTCGATCGCGATATGGGGGGGGGGGGCGAAAAGTGCCTTTCGATGGATTTCGGCGCCTGTGAGCCAAAGGGGGTGCGTCGGGGATTGTTGACGCGAGCCCCGAGGTTGTAGCTGGATGTTGCGCAGTTGGGAGCTTTCCTCGGGAAAATTCGCGTTTCCCCGTTCCGACAAGGGGTAGGGTACAGGAGGCGGGGCTTGTATAAGCTATGTACAACTTGACCTAGTGCATATGGATAAATACGATACGACCTATAGGTACATGTGTACGCAGCAGGGGCTCCTCCTCCTCCCGTCCCTCGCGACGCGCGTGAGAGAAAATAAAAGGAAAACGTAAGTAAAACGAGCGTGTTTTCTTCCAACTTTGCTCTCTCTCTTTCTCTCCTTTCTTTTTTTTTCAACTTTATCGATTCTCCTAGTAATCCTGATGACTCTCTTCGTATAATACGTTGATACGTATATAGGTGGTACTTGTTTCAGCCGGCGGGACTTTTTTTTTTTTTTTTTTTTTTGCTTCGTCTTTTTTGACATTGTTTGACGCGCTTTTGATGATTTTGTGCACTTGCAAGAATCATTCGGACCGGGTACTCTGAACAAAACACCTATAAACACGTATGTTGAGTTAGTTTTTTTTTTTTTTTTTTTTTTACATTAGATATTTTTACGAGCTCAAAGTGATTAACGATCGTTTGCTCACTCTCGTTTATTCTACCGGTCGTGAGAGCTTGTATGTACACTCCGGAGGTATGAAATTGTAGATAAGTATATAAGTATGGCTCAAGCGCGACTATACGTTTGCACGAAATAATGTTATTGTCTTAGTTTATTGCTGGAAACAAACAAATTTCAATGCGACACGAGTGTTTTTTGGCTTCACAATAGATCTTTGACAACGACTCGTAAATCACGGATAATACGAGTTGCGCAATGTACCCTAATTTTTTATCCAGCTGATTTGGGGAAAACAAAAATTACGCTCGCATCGACGTTTACGAAACGACACTTCCGAAAGATAGTCAATTTCCGCAAAATCTTGGGCTCATCTCCTCGCTCTGCCTCTTTGTAGTTTTTTTTTTCTCCCCTTCGTACGTATACGTTTAATAATAATATTTGTTTCTTGTTTTTCGTTCTTGCGCGTCAAGATGAAATTTTTACCAATAGTTCACACGTGCGCGAGCTCTGATGCTTACAAAACGTTGACGAAACTAGTCAATTAAGTGTACAAATAGTCGACACTTGTAAAATGTCATGTTATTTGACAACTAATTAATTTTTTTTTTTTTTTTCCTTCGAACCCCTACAGGACCTGTTCTATTCGCGCAAAAACTACAAGCGACCGGAACTACAGATATCGCCGCATCAGGCCTTCGAGGACGAAGTCACGCTGCTGGACACCTTCTTCCCTGGTGAGTGTCATCACGTACATGTGTAAATTAGCATGATTTTTCGTATCGATGAAAATTCAGCGTACGTGACAAATTTGACGAGCCCCTTGTTGTAAAATGTCAAATGGCTCCGAAACATTACCTTGGGTTTCGTTAATTCGTTTCACGCAACTCTAATCGTGACAGGTATCGCTGTAAATTAAAAAAAAAAAAAAAAATCGATTCTGCCTATCTCTCTCTCTCACGCACCGGTCGAAGAATTTTCCATCGTCGCGCGCGCGTGGAAAGTGTATTTTGAGAAATGCCGTCCACACGCCGCACACGCGTGAGCTACGCAATAATCTCTCCTGTTCGTTGTTACACGCTCGTGTGTATAATATACAGCGCAACGTGCATCACGATTTTGTTACTTAATTACTACACCATATTAATTATATAAGAGGCACTTGTGTCGGACAATGCATTTTGAGGACGGAAAATTGTTTTACAAAATGCTCAACACCAAAGATACGAGTAATGCCAATATTAACAATTTTACAATCAGATGGGGAGGCTTACTGTCTGGGCGCCGAGGACAACGACTGCTGGTACCTGTACACGCTGAACCGCGACAAGCCGGCCCGGCCAATCATCAACGAGGACCAGCGCGAGCCGGACCAGACCCTCGAGGTCCTTATGACGCACCTCGACCCCCAGGTCATGGCCATCTTTACTCGGGACGTGTGCTCCTCGGCGGCCGAGGCCACTCAAAAGTCTGGCATCGACAAGCTCATTCCCAGCATGACCATCGATGACTTTCTCTTTGAGCCGTGCGGCTACTCCATGAACGGGGTCGCCAAGAACGTGAGTGTATAACTTTTTTAAATGGCTGCAGTTGTTTTTCGTAAGACTAATCGTTTGTTTATTTTAAAAATTTTTTTTCTTAGGGTAGCTACATGACCATTCATATAACCCCGGAGCCGGATTTTTCGTACGTTTCCTTCGAGAGCAACATCCCGGAGTCGTCGTACGAGGAGGTGATCGAGCGCGTGCTCAAGACCTTTAAGCCGGGCAAGTTCGTGGTTACCATATTTGCGAATAAGGATTCCTTGGCGGCCGACGCGCCGCGCGAGCTCGAGCAGACCGAGGTCGGGTTCGGCTTTGAGGACGACTTTGTGCGCAACGACGTCCAGTACTGTCGATTCAAGAATTACGATCTTACCTGCGCCTTCTACTCCAAGTTTCCGAGCTGAGGGTTCATGGACGCCTCGTCGGCGCGGGCCAGCTGTAGCGCCGACGAGGCAACACTCTTGCCCCTTTCCTTCTCCTCTCTTCCTCCCTCCCACTACCTTCAAACCTTTCCCCGTTTACTTACCACCTCCTCCCTTGTTAACAAAAACCACCACCACAACAACAACAACAACAACAACAACGACCACCAACATTGCAACTACAATCGCAACAGCGATAACAACAACAACAACAACAACAACAACAACAGTACTAATAGCAACAACAGCGTCAATCACCGGCTCTTCCGTTGTAACGGTAGCGTGAGCAGTGCACAGATTACAGGTGACAGCGCTACCAGGGAACCGGAGCTCGCCGTCGCCACGAGCTGTCAATCACTCGGTAATCTCGGTCGTTCAACGACCAACGATGACGGCTCCACCAAGAGCTCGGATAAGGAGAACGGCGGTAGTTCTAGCAGCCGCTCGACCTCCTCGCCACAGCTGATGAGCCGCTCGAAGGTTTACCGGAGAGCCTCGCTCAAGTCTCTCACGAGTCTCAGCAGCACCACCTCGCAGCCAGCGCAGTCTAGGATCGTCAGGTTGGGCCGTGTCAAGATCGCGGACAAGCGGGGGACACCGCTCGACCATGTAGCCAAGACAAGTAACACCGGCAGCAACAACAGCGCTTTCGGGGATAAAAAGGTTCCGTGTCAAGCATTCTCCCAGCCGGTGCATCGGTCGCCCGATGATGACTCTAGCCTTTGTTCCAAGAGCAAGAAGGAAAACTCGAATGGAGTATTGCAGCAGGTCGAACAGCAGCAGCTGCAGGAAGAGGAGAAGCAGCAACAACAACAGACCAAGGGTAAGAGCTGCAGCAGCTTCTTGCCGATTCTGTCGTTGATACCGAACATGGTGATAAGCTTCCAGTACCCAAGCCCCAAGATGAAGTTCTCCTGGTGGAGGAACAAGATATCGTGAAGGCACGCCTAGAGGAGCCAAAGCTGAAGACTACCTCGTTGGGGTGGCTTCTTCCCTCTAATGAGGTACGGCTGTGACGGCTGTATTTTTGATGTTGCATTTTATTCACGGATGACGGATGATGAATTTTGTTTTTCTCACTTTTCATTTATTCGAGTCCATTACTTATGTCGAGCGAGAAACAAACGAGAACTAGAGATATGCACTGCTGTCTTGTGTTAACGTGCTGTCTCTCAGTTTTCATTAAATTCAGTACCCGAACGTTGAAAAATACAAATCCCATTATAAATGCATGAGCCTATAATGGTGTTAATAATGCATGTAAAAAAAAAAAAAAAAGATTGTTTAGCAAAGAAAAGTAATGAATAAAATCAACAATACGTAATGTTATTGTAGCTCCGTTAATCGTTGCTATAAAATAACCAAAATCCCAGCTTATACGTCGTCTAATCTGTGTAGAGAGAAATTATTAAATAGAGGCATAAAACAATGAGTGGAAAGGTAAGCGACCGAAAGGAAATATGTGTCTATATGTCATCTCCAATTATTGTCGTCGTCCTTTGTATGCGATAATATGTTCATTGTCTGTACTGAAAGTGTCGTCCCGATGGACGATGTATTATCTTGCATGCCAACGTAGTAGAGGATCTTACTAATTTAAATTACTTGTGTATTGAATGGCTGCAAAGACACATCGTTCGTTCAAGTATTGGCGATCGCAAGACGGTAAAACGCAGCGGTGATAACTTTACGAAGGTGCCTAAGGCAACTAAACTGCTACGTTTTCATCGTTTTATATATCAAAAATTTTACCATTTGAAATAGCATTGTAAAAAAATCATTCGTGTCGTCTTTCGTCTAAAAAATGTTTTAAAAAAATAACGTATCTCTTTTATCTTGCAATCGCCAAACATTATCTTGTACTTTCTGCAACAATATTGTAAATATCCAAATTCAAAAGTTTACACATGGAGTTCATTAGACATCAAAAGAAGAAATTCTTTTTTTACTGCATTTGAAAATTCGAAAATTTTAAAAGATTCGATTGTATTTTATTGATTAATGTTTAGCATGAATAGTCATTAAAAAATAATGATCATTCAATTTTAAGAAGAAATAGACCTAGTAGTACATTTAATAAAACTATCAATATTAAAGAGCATTCCACAGAACTGAAAATATCTCCGGTTTGAGTAATTGTACATCTAATTGTTACAAGGAGATATATTACATTTATAGACACTATTTATAACGCTCAGTGTATGTATGTATATATAATGTATACATCTTGTACGAAATCATCTTTATTTCACATAAAGATGATGAATATCGTCGTGTAACATCAAATTTTAATGCACAAATTCATTTTTAATTCTATTCTCGTTTCATTGTTTGGATAAATGAAAATCTTTTCGTTTTAACAACGTAAGGAGATTTCTATCAATATATCTTTTTAGAGTAAACTGTCGATACAATATATAGTTAAATACGAAAATTTGGAATATTCCTTGACAGTCAATGATTAATAATAGCAATGAAGTTAACAAAAGTTTTACAAGTCACTTCAAAATTACAAAGATATGATTTAAATAAAAAATTACAGTAGAATAGATTTAATTATTTTTCCCACGTAACAACCATCAAGCAAGAAAACAAACTATCAACCATCAGCGACTTTAGTAGCATAGCGAGATTCGACTGTGCCCATAAAACTAAACACATAAGAATAACATGTGAATCGTGTCAATCGAATTTAAGGAGGTAGGAAGTAGTAAACTTACTGTCCTATTGTACAGTTTTGATGTTTCACTGAAAAACTATATAGTATAGAATTTTTACCTGTTTGCGAAACACAAACGAAAAATTAGTATCCAAGAGGAGAAAATTTTTTAAAAACCTTCGTACAAACGAGCATTTTTTTTTTTTTAATTCCAAATATTCATCTTTTTTTGAGAATGTTTATTTTTTATTTCTTGAACAATAAAAAACTTTGTGAAACACTTTATTTCTCGTCATCATTTCCCTTCTTTTATTTTTTAACGCCCAAGCCGCATGACCATTATTTATTTAATTATGAATTTTTCATCAAATGCTAAAATGGCACACCTGATGATTAATGGTGCTATTTAAGGATTATCATTCAAGGTTTACACATTTACTTGTCAAAAAACGCTTCATGAACTAAAATTAATAAAAGCAGTGTATATTATTAATATATGTGTAAAACGTGTGTTTACAAGCAGAGCTGGACAAAGGTGGGTTCCTTAAATCTTTAACATACTTGAGGGATGAAAATAAAAAAAAATTCCGATTCTTTGAATTATTTAATCCCTAAGCAATGTTTTAGGACGGGCTAATAATAAAATATTGAAAATGAAAATCAAACAATATTTTTTTATCGCACTTAAATTTTTTGTAATGTTCTTGCAAAGCACAAAGCATTGTAACAGATGAATACACTACTTATTAGCATCGTTCGAAATTTTAAATCCGAACGGTGCTGGTCTTACTACACGAGGTGTCGTATGGTGTAAGCAATTTAAAATTGACTGATTGCCAATAAAGAGGTAATAAAAAGTCGATGTTTTTTATGAGTAAAATCTCAGCTCTGCTTAATTGTGAATTATTCGTATCTACAAAGAAAAAAATCATATTAATTGTATCTGTTTTAGACTTAACTGTTGCATGAAAGTTGGTCTTACTTGTGTACACAATGTATCTATTTGTTAAATTAAAAAAAAAAAAAAAAAAAAAAATGATTGTAAAAATGTAGAATATTGACATCTACATTAATTATTTCAGTTCACATTCGTATAGTATATTTCAGCAGCCATTCGATAAAATGTTATTTATAGTGATACAATTTTATCATGTTACAAAATAATTTTAAAAACTGTTTAAAGGCGAATGTTAGATATGCTCTGTAACCGTAAAAATAATGTATTGTACGTACATTAAAAAAACAAAAATATCATAAGGATAAAAAATTTTACTATATTTTGGCAGGGCCAAGTAAACACGCGAGAAAAGAAGTTTGCGTAAGTAAAAAAATTTGGAATATTTCCAAATTTTATTTTCATACTTAGGCAGTAGACGCTCAATACATTAATTTATTTTCAATGGATTAAACAAAAAATTATTATTTTCCTGCAGCTGAGCAAGATAAACATCTTTACAAATTCTTTTTTTCCAGGTATAAAAATCAAAAATACAAGTAAGAAAAAATTTATACACGTAAACTCGAATGAAAAGTGACACTCTCAAGATTTTGCAAAAAAAGGGAATTTCGACTAAAACGAAAAAAAAAAATAAGGAAACGAAATATACAACATGTCAGTGATAATTAAAACACAGCTGAACGTGTTTAAAAAGAAATTTTCGTAATCAATACAAATACGAAATATCATTAATGAATAAAAATGTACTCGTGTAAAAAATAACGATTTCACAACGTTATCAAACTTTCGTTGGTATTAACTGATCTACAATGTAAAATCTGCCGTCAGGGGATAAAATTAATTCGGAAAAATATACTTGTACCCATATTTGAACAGGATGATTATTTTTATACGAAAAAACACGTTGTGGATTTTCTTTGATGATTTATTCGACCGAGGAAAAAAAAAATTGTACCTCACTGTATACGATGAATAAAATTTGATTATCATCTAAATGTACACACGAATCGGCATTGATCATTTACGATTCCTTCCCAACCAACCATACATTTCATGGCAAAGATAATATACATCGGATGAAAAATCGAAGGATACACTCGGCCCAAGTGAACACAAGTCCGTGCATTCATCACTGCTCTAATGTCCCTTCCAGCTTGGAGAAAAAAAAAAAAAAAAAAAAAATCTTAAATAAAGAGAAGAGAAGGAGCGGAAAAAGAAAAAAATCTCCGATGGAACATTATAAGCAAGGAGAGTGGGAGCCGCGTCCTTCCCCTTTCTCTCTCCGAAGAGGAGCTAGAATCATCATCTTTTTGCTCTCTTCTCTCGTCCTCTCTCTACTCACCGGACGAGTACCAGCAGTTAGCGGCCGAAGCTCGTTGGTCTCGGACTCTTCTTTTTATCAAACCAACGAATTGTATTTGTTTTTCCTCCTTCTCCTTTTAATCCAAAACACCTGTTTCGCATCCTAATATTTTTCTTGCTTTTCATTCCAAAAGCGAGCACGTGAGCAGACCCAAACAGAAATCGAAGGTAAGTGCAGAGCTGCGCGTTCGAAAAAAAAAATCGAGAATCGCTATTGGGGGAGAAAAAGTGCTGATTTATTTATTTATTTCTTGATAAATCTCTCCGATGTACAGCCGTGACGGTCGAGAAAGTGCGCTTACCACAAGTATTGCGGTTTGATGGGTGCGAGTGCGAATTTCGCCAAAAAAGAATTGCGCTGGCAGCCTGGAGTCTCTTTAAATTTTCTCGGTATTACATGTAGCGTATGGGTATACGAGCGTATCGGAGGTGCGCGAGGAATGCAATGCTAACAGCCGTTCCCGTTACATTTGTATTTACGTAGGGTGTGCTTGCGCGTGAGTTTTTCAAGACTTGTCGTGCACACGCGATGATCCAGGCGCGTCTATATAGGATTTCGGCTCATCAACGCGATGCCGGTTTACTTTCCAAATGAGATTTACGACATAATGATTTCTCAACTGTTTATTCAACTTTTACACATAAACTCTACTACAATTTCAACAAAACGTTCCGTTGCGCCAGCGCTTCCATAAAAATTATACGTAAGGATAATTCGTACCATCATTTCGTAATGATTTTACAATAAATTTCATCTCTTTCGAGTCATTTTTGTTTTTTCACGGCTATCTTGGTAAAATTGAAAACTATAAGGGGAGCGCTAATATATACCGTGTCGAAACAGCTCAAGCATTATCAATGTGAATATTAATATTACAAATCGAGGACCATTTAGAGATGACGTACCTGTGTTTAAAAATACGAATCGTTAAAAAAAAAAAAAAAAATGTTAAAAACGTGACTGTTAATGAGCATACGCGAATCGCGCGGATCGATTACAAGGATCGTGCACACATTCGCGCGCAACATGTAGGATACATAGTACTGGATGGATCGCGGTCTCTCGGCGCTGGGGATAGCAAAACTCTCGCTTTGACCTCGAAATCGCACACATATACGCACACGTATTACATAAATTTCGCGGCAGGTGTTTTTGTGATGCAATACTTAATACTGCACGCTCCGTACAGCTGACTAAGGCGCGAGAGGGACATTCGACTTTCCCCGGGGCATCCGTGCTTTCAGCTACCGAACGACCTTGAACTCACTTTTCACGGCATGATCAAAGGTGAATGGCCTTCCTCCCTTGGTAAACTTTGCGTGCGCAAGTAAATGGTACATAGGTACACATAATCCATACGTACAACTCTTTTGCATATAAGTATGTATACTCCAGCGCAGTCGATTGCGGTTGTGCGTATAAACCAAAGTTACTGTATGGGTGGAAGATCGGTGAGTGCATCGTTTCGTTGGCATTGAAGGAAACGCTAGAATACTGTACTCGTAGTTTAAAGTGAATTCGATGTTTCGATGAGCAAAAGAACTCCTTCTTTAGTTAGCCAGCATTGTGCATTAAAATCGATTGCAAATGTGTAAACAGCAAAGAAAATGCCGCCAGCAAGCACGTGGAAGACGATATTTGTGACCGGAGGTGCCGGCTACATTGGCAGTCACTGCATCATCGAGCTCCTCGAAAGCGGCTACGACGTCGTTGCGATCGACAATTTCGCCAACAGCGTGACCGAAGGCAAGGGCGAGTCGGCAGCTTTGAAACGGGTCGAGGAAATCACGGGCAAAACAGTCGAGTTTTACAATTGCGACCTCCTCGACAAGGACAAGCTCGAAATAATTTTCAACAAGGTAATCCCTGCGTTTTTTTCTTTTTGATACTTTTTTTATAACTCGTACATGTTTTGATGTCGATTTTTCAGCGCAAAGTGGACTGCGTCATTCATTTCGCTGCCATCAAGGCCGTCGGGGAGTCCATGCAAGTTCCTCTTCATTACTACAAAAACAATATCATTGGTGCTATTAATTTACTGGAGGTAGGTATATTGGATTGCTAAAAAAGTAATCCCACGAGCATTTCTAACTCGAAACGATTTTTAGGTAATGAAAGCAGGTGGGTGCTTTCAGTTGGTGTTTAGTAGTTCTTGCACAGTCTACGGAGAGCCAGACGAACTACCAATCACAGAGAGTCATCCTACCGGCAACATAACAAATGTCTACGGCAGGACGAAATATTTTATAGAAGAAATGCTCAAGGATATATCAAGGGCTGAGAAGGTACGTTAGAGTAGATTTCGTCTTCGCAAGCGCCCTCAGGGCTCTGTGGATAGCCCCGGTGGAGATGGCGTTTATGTGTCGAAAACTACTTTAATCTTACAAAATATTCCAGGATACTTAACAAAACTTTACCTTTTATTAGAACTGGAATATTATTTCGTTGAGGTATTTTAATCCGGTTGGTGCTCATCCTAGCGGCGACATTGGTGAGGATCCAACTAAACAATTTACAAATTTAATGCCTTTCATTGCTCAAGTGGCACTTGGGCTTAAAACAGAATTGACCATCTACGGGGGAGATTATCCAACAAAAGATGGCACGGGTATGGATTCTTTGTAGAGGTGTTTTGATGAATGTATGTTTCATTATAAATGATTTCAGGAATCAGAGATTATATCCACGTAATGGACTTGGCGTCAGGACATGTTGCTGCCTTGAAAGCGCTACATAAGGAACATTCTCGGCTAAAGATATATAATCTTGGCACTGGATGTGGCGTTTCTGTACTTGAATTAGTCAAAACATTTGAAAGGGTTACAGGAACACGTGTTCCTTACGTCATTAAAGACAGACGGGAAGGTGACATAGTGTCTATGTTTGCTAACACTAGTTTGGCAGAACGAGAATTGGATTGGAAAGCAAAATACAGTGTCGAGCAAATGTGTAAGCCATTGTAATAATATTTTGATACATTTTTTCTTTGCAGACTTTTTGTTATAAAATTTGAATATTTCAGGCCGCGACTTTTGGAGGTGGCAAACTATGAATCCTACTGGGTATAGAACAACTTATAAAAATGGCAATTCCACTAATCATTAACAGGAATTTACTAGTGTTAGTATAATACCAAAAGATATTTTTAAAAAATCTTTAATTAACACTCGATTTTTATAAATAATTTGTTATTTAATAAAAAAAAAATTTTGATATTTTAATAAATCGATGTTACCTTTAGAACCGGGTCCCTTGTCAACATGAGATACTTTTGTAAAATTGTATAGAGATAGATGCTGAAATTTCAAAACTTCCAAACCCCAGCTAATCCACCCAGGTAACAAATATCTGGCAAAAATTTCCAAGCACTGAGGATGCTCAGGTAGATATGATTTGAAAAGTTCTAGGAGCAATAATGACTTTATACATACTGATGAGTAGAAAAGTACTAATTAAAAATTTACCTATTAAGGGAGGCTTGTGAGAATGAATGGCACTTGGAACACTTATAATGACTTTCTTATCAGGTACATTTACGTTGACTGTAGCTGTAGATCCAATGATTAGTTGTTCATATGGTTGTTTTCCATGTGATTCATTATAGTTACATACAGGTTTTCCACTTTGAGTAACCTGAAAGTAACGATTGTATTATACCATGAATTATTTTTAAACAGGCAAATATGTTCATAGTATAATTTGTAATTGTACTTTGAGCCAATACCACTTTGCTCTAAAGATAACGTTCCAGGCTGGAAAAATATCTTCTAAAACACTTTTTATTTGACTAGCAGAATTAGTGCACCAAACTGCGACTATTCCATTTGTAGACAAAAGATCACCAATAGGGATTTCCATAAGTTCTTCATTGTACATCATATTATAGCTGTATGAAATTTAAAAATGTATTACAACATCAAAGAAATAGTTTTATATTTCAATAAGCAAATTTATTACCTGCTTTCTCGAAATTGGGCTTTTTTCCTTCTAATCGATTTATTCCACCATGGGGGATCCAAGACAATAAAATCATACTTCCTGGCCATATTTAATTTTTCACGAATATGTTTTATATCGTAGCAATAAAATTCACAATTATTAGGAAAAACGTATTTTTCACTACGAAATTCAGCAATTATTGCTACGTCTTTTTCATTCATTCCATGATAATTAGAATTCAAATCTGATCTTTCTATATAAAAATTTCTTGATTCTAATCTTGATTGACGATTGTCATCAGTGATGATATTTACAAATAATTTTTGATTTTTAATGTCTTTAAGAATTTTTTCGCTCATTTCTTTAACAAAATTTTTCTGTTGTAAAACATCTTCTGGCAGTACATTAAGTTTTCTCTTTTTCTTTCTTGGTTTAACTTCTTTATCAGTATTACCGTTTTCAATTTGATTTTGACGTGAAAATTGCGAGTTTATTTTAAAAAAGTTGTCTTTAAATTTTAAAGTTTCATACGAATCTTCATACTGTACATTTTCATAAATTTTATGCATGTAATCAAGGTGAGATAGAATCCAACCATCTTCTGATGAAAACAAAATACTCATTGTGTTTTAGGTGTATATTTCTAATACAAAAATGACTAAAAAATAAAGTTTTTGTTCAAACGACTATATAGTTGCTTTACGAAATAAAAACTTAATAGCATTTATGAAAAAAATATATACGAAACCTGTTTACAAGTACTAGTTAAGTACTTATGATTTACTTTTTTTGTTGATTTCTGTCTTTAAAAAAATACAAATAGGGTAATAATTCCGCTTGATAACTAAATAATAAAAGCTACTGCATAATAAAAATTCCACTCGATCTCGTTACTTGCAGCTTAAAAACGAGAGCATAATAAATAAACAAGACAGACAAAAAACAGTTTAGTGATAGACAAAATCTATTGTATGGTGTATAGAGCGGATGTCATAGAGAAGAGGTTATGTTATTGTTTATACTGCAGTGGTCAGCCGCACTCTTACTCACTACGCAGTCGTGCATATATCTTACGGCATCTTACCTAAGGTAACATACCTTAGGTAAGATACAATTACAATAGTTTTTGCGCGGAAACTAGGGTATCTTAACGATTTTAATAACTTACAGCTCGTAAATCTTACAATCGTCTCGTGGTTTGCACCGTTAAAAAAGTAAAAATGAAAAATGTATGTAGTTTAACGAATAAAACTTTCGTGCGAAAAGACTTGATTATTAATAGAAATATAAACAAAACAACTAGGTTTACATTTAAGATTTAAGTCATTTTTGACAAGTTTGTGTAGAAAACCATCCGCAATAGCCGCAATCTGTATCCGCATCCGATGTTGAGTACCGTCAGATGGTACTGAATGTATTTAAAGTATTTCCCTTGAATCTTCATACGTATATGTTGCTCAAGTTTTTGCTTGTAATCGAAAAACATAACCTGTAATCATACAGCTCTCCTGCACAGTTTACGTCAATCTAGTCGCACGGGAGCGCGACGAAGCAACTTTTTTTATTTTAGTAATTAAAAGTTAAACTTTATTAGTTTTTTAATTTTACCAAAATGCCGGATCATCTTGGAGATGACATGCGGAAAGTCAAAAGTGACGAAGAGAAGGAGGAAACAGACATAAAACGTAAGCAATTTGCACAAGTGTCACATAATTTTTTGGAGCCTTTAGCTTTTCTATCTGATTTCTAATATATTTCTTTGTAAACTATGTTTTGTGATTTAAAGCCCTTGACGAGGGAGATATCGCCTTGCTGAAGACATATGTAAGTTTTGTGGCATTTGTATATGCTTCTTTGATGCTTAATACATGACAGCTTACAGTGACTCCCTTTGTTAAATGTCATTGTTTTCTTCAGGGACAAGGCCAGTACACAAAAAGCATAAAAACTGTTGAAGAGGACATTCAAACAATAATAAAGCAAGTCAATGAACTCACTGGAATTAAAGAGTCAGACACGGGCCTTGCTCCACCTGCATTATGGGATCTTGCAGCTGACAAGCAAACACTCCAAAATGAGCAGCCCCTGCAAGTGGCTCGATGCACTAAAATCATCAATGCCGACTCTGATGATCCCAAATACATCATCAATGTGAAACAGTTTGCCAAGTTCGTTGTTGATCTGGCCGACTCTGTAGCACCAACTGACATAGAAGAAGGAATGAGGGTAGGAGTCGATCGGAACAAGTATCAGATTCATATTCCACTCCCTCCAAAAATTGACCCTACTGTAACTATGATGCAAGTGGAGGAAAAGCCTGATGTGACTTATAGTGATGTTGGTGGGTGCAAGGATCAAATAGAAAAACTTAGGGAGGTTGTGGAGACTCCATTGTTACATGTAAGATTAATTAACAAGATTTATTAAAAAATTTGCGTGCTATTTTGCAAATGCTTTAATTCAATGTCCATACTTTAGCCAGAAAAGTTTGTAAACTTGGGTATTGAACCACCCAAGGGTGTACTACTGTTTGGCCCACCTGGTACTGGCAAAACCTTATGTGCAAGGGCAGTAGCAAACAGAACGGATGCCTGCTTCATTCGTGTGATTGGTTCTGAATTAGTCCAAAAATATGTTGGAGAAGTAAGTTATCTCAACAATCTACTCAAAGTTAAATATATAGTACTGTTTACTTAATTTTTTGTTATCTCGCAGGGCGCTAGAATGGTACGAGAACTATTTGAAATGGCTAGGAGTAAAAAGGCTTGTTTGATTTTCTTTGATGAAATAGACGCTATTGGTGGTGCGCGATTTGATGATGGAGCAGGTGGAGACAATGAAGTGCAAAGAACGATGCTGGAGCTTATCAATCAACTTGATGGGTAAGATAAACCAAAGTTAGCAGTTCAGCGTGTCTAACAACAAGTTTTCCATGGTATTATTTGCCTCTACTTGTTCAACAGATTTGACCCGAGAGGAAACATTAAAGTTCTCATGGCGACAAACAGGCCAGACACACTGGACCCAGCTCTCATGAGACCCGGTCGTCTGGACCGAAAAGTCGAGTTCGGTCTCCCTGATCTCGAGGGTCGCACACACATATTCAAAATTCACGCCCGGCCCATGAGCATCGAGCGAGACATTAGATTCGAATTGTTGGCTCGACTGTGTCCAAACAGCACTGGCGCCGAGATTCACTCGGTCTGCACCGAGGCGGGTATGTTTGCGATCCGAGCGAGGCGCAAGGTTGCCACGGAAAAGGATTTCCTCGAGGCCGTTACCAAGGTCATCAAGTCATACGCCAAGTTCTCCGCCACGCCGAAATATATGGCTTACAATTAAGTCTTTTACATTTTCTTTTATACGCGCGTCGGAGCTTTTGTCCATAAGCCTTTATTGAATTATTGAATTACATAAACTTTAACACAATATTACGTTTAACGGAAAAATACAAAAAACAGTTTTTCAATCATTAATACTTTATTTACTTTGCGTATGATGATTTACAACACTAGTGATAAGGTTCACGTGCGGCTGCAAAATTTCAATTTCATTGGAACATTTGGTTTATTAATGGGTGTCGAAATTATGTCAAGATCCCCGCCTTCCCAGTGGAATTTCAAATTACGACACATCTGAAAACGAAAAAAAAAAAAAAAAAAAATGTTTTATCTGAAAATTCATATTATTTGAAACGTCAGCATGTAATACAGCAAGCATCGTCACCTACTCTGAGCAGTAGGGTTTGCATGCTCTGCTCCGCCAATCGTCGAGCAATGCAAGAGCGAGACCCGTGGCCAAAAGGAACCACGAGATACGGGTGAATCGAATCTTGTTTTTTGCTCCCATCTGCGTCCCTGTGCCACCGTTCGGGAATGAAACTGTTTGGATTGTCGAAATATTCCGACGACCTGCAGGAAATTTCGTTGTGCGTGACAACGTATGTCTGTAACATTATTATTATTATTATTATTATTATTATTACTTTTTAAAATGTATACATACTTAAACGCCCAACTACTATTACAACTATTTCGTAAATATCGGCAAAGAGCGAAAACTCACCCCCTTGGGAACATGATAGCCATTGAGAACCACGTCTGTGTGCAGTATCCGTCCTACTCCTAAGGAAATCGGATTGATCCTGAATGTCTCCTTGATCACTGCTTTGGTGTAATAAGCCTCCCTCAGAGTATCCTCGGTGATGGCGTCATTCTCATTCGCAATTAACTTTGACGCCTCTACGTGGAGCTTTTCTTGTACTCGAGGATTGTTCGACAAATGATAGAGCGCGAAAGCCGAAGCGTAGGTTGTCTGAAACAAAACAGTCCCGAGTGAGATGTGTAATCAACCATTCGTCCCCGATAAACCGACGATCTGCGAGATCGAAAAACGTCGAAATATGTTTTTAAAACCAACTGTGTCTATCCCAGCTAATAGCATATCGCACGCCATACCGATAACGTCCTTGTGGTCCAGAGCTGGGTTCTGCAAGTAAGTGTCCAGCAGGGACTCCTTTCCCCGCGACGCCGCGTCTCCGCCGGTGTGTCTCAATTTGCCGATTTTTTCCGAAACCATTTGTACCGCTACCCTTCGAAATTAGTGGAAAAGAAAATAAGAAATACCAATACCGGAGGACCCAAGACAAATCAAAATAGAGATCGGCTTACTTCTCCATGCAGGACTGAGCCTCGCAGAACCGCCTGTACTTCGGCGTGTCGAAGTACCGCCAAATTTTCGGGCCGTTGTCCAGGTCATATATCACGTTGTTCGAGTCGAAAGCTGCGTCAATCAGTTTCGAGCTCAACGAACCCGGCCGCATCTCCTCCTCCGAGTAAACATCGATCTCCAAGTCGAATGCCACCGAGCAGATGTCTGCAAAAGGGGACCAAATATCATTTTTTTTTTTTTTTTTTCTCGTGACCAACAACAAATTGCTGATCTAAAAAAAANCACAGCATTGACTTACAAACTCTCGTACCTACAATGTAGGAGTGCGATCATGTGACCAGTTATCACGTGAAGGAAAAAAAAAAAAAAAAACTCACTCCGCAAAAACAACCGGGACAGCAGGGGCGTGAGGTCTTGGAACTCGTTGAGCTCGCAAAGCCGCGCGAATTTGGCGGTCGCGCCATCGGCGTCCGGCAGGTACTTGACGAGCTGCGGCTTGCTGAGGGCCTTCTGGAACTCCTTGCGCAGCCTCCACCAGTCGGGGCCATTTCTGACCTCGAAAAAGCAGCAAACCCATCGATTAATTAATCGGCGCCAATTGCCGTTGACCAATTACCATCATCACCCTATACGTACGTGGGTAGGAGTCCACCGGTGTTGTAGACGCCGCGGCGATCCTCGCGGTACTTGAGCAAGGCGAGGTGGCTGCGTCTCTCGGGGTGCCAGCCGCCGTCGGCCTTGTACACCTCGGCGATGTCCTCGGGGCGGTAAACGTAGACGATCGGCTCTCCGGGCTTGATCTCCTCGCGCACCACCGGCCCGTACTCGGCGTACTTGGCCGCCCCCATTTCGCGCAGTTTTTTCGGGTCGTACTTGCCTGTACAGTATTGATCATTATTTTTTTGTTTTTCAGTGTTGCCGTTTAAAAGAAAGTTGGGAGGATGAAAAAAAAAAAAAATAATAAATATGCTGATGTATGGTGTTCACCGATGATCGGCAGGTAGTCGAGGAGCGTGCCCAAAAAGGGAAAACCCCTGGGACCGGGTATCTCGTCAAAAGGCCGCGCTTCGGCGCCGAAGGCTTTCGACGAAAATTTACTGTTGCGCAAAACGATCGGGCATCTCATCATCGCCGGAGAGGAGAGACAAAAAGGGGGTGGGGATGGTCGCCTGGAAGAAAGCGCGAACTGAAATTTATAAGTACTTAATTGCGTAACGTCGTGTTGTTTTATTACGTACCTAAAGAATAATCGAAATCCACGAGGACGTGCAGGTATAGGTAAGTAATGTACGGGAGAAAGACAACTTTCATCCGTCCGGTTCTGCTTCACACTGCTGCCTTGGTTCCTATGTGAGGTGTACGCACGAGCTTTGCGTGACTCGAGAAGAAAAAAGAAAAAAGAAAAAAAAAGGATGGACGGATGCACCGGTGGATTATACCGGTTTTCGAGTTGACCGTAAGACAATATACATTTTCACTTGAATTTCATAGATTTAATCCTCTTGGGACACTAACGGGGTAATCCGCTGCTGCTCCCCAATGATCCTTTTGTCTTTCTCGAGTACCCCACCACGTCTCAATGCTCTACATGCAGTGTATCCACTGTATATATTACATTATTGGTATGCGTATACGGTCGTCCCACATGTTATATATGTATATGTGTGTCATCACCAGTCAAAATACACGAATAAATATCTTATCTACTAGTACGCTCGTTTTTATCAACGAATGCCTCTGATTTTCTATTTGCCGCGTACGTACACTTGGCCGATAAATTTTATGCAGAGACAGACGAGCGCGCGCCGTCTTGCTGAGCTATCCGAATTGAATTACGATTCCTCTCGCGGCTTCTTCTCCGCACGGCGTAGAATATTTTTTTTTCTTCTCTTCTCATTTCTTCTTCTCCTCTTTCGTTCTGATTTGCATTCCTGTGACTCTGATTTAGCTATTTTTTTTTTTTTTTTTTTTTTTTTTTTTTTTTTTTTATAAAATGCAACTGGGAGAATTCGGTATGCGAAATCGGATAAAATTGCTTCCAAGATCGAGTGGATCGGTATGATAATCAAATCATAAAGTTACGTTTACGGACAACTAATAGGAGTCCAACGCGTGTAATCGAAGAATATGTACACATGTGTGTGTGTGTTAAATTCAGCGATACTGTAAAATCCACTTTGAATCGTTATTACAAGCGGAGGAGTTTGAAACGAAAATTTTGCTCCAGAAAACCTGACGTCACTCACATGCTATATACCTATATCAATATATTATCCCTATACGTAAAAAGATCGAGTTAAAGATGCGATAAAAAAAAAGTGTAGTAAGCTGCAGGAGTAAGTGAGGAAAAAAAATTTTTTTTTGGTCAACTGTACCGTAAAAACCTGTTCGGTTTCTTTGACTATTTTTTTGTTTCTTTTTTCTTTTCATTTTCCAAACTAACATAACTGGTGTAAGTACTCTAAAGTGTTTTAATCGATCACACAGGCGCAATTCATAATTTCGGGCGCGTTTGCCCATCTACTATCTCCAGGTTCACCAGTATTTCCTATCCCGTTTCCACTGATAACGGTAAATCAGGTGAAGAGCGTAAACACACCTTTCACCTTTCTCTACCTGAATCCATAATGTGTACTTCACATGGTGTGGTGTTTGTTGTAATGTAACCACGTGTTTGTCATTTTCACATTTTTTTAAGACTCGGATCGGCTTGACATAGCGATAGGTATAGGTATACATTTGGTGCTTAGCTATGCGATTAGCTTTGGATCGATATCAAAGTACCCACCTATATATACCATGTATATGTACATTCCCAGTGGCCGGTATGTACATAGTACATAGCGTACCTTTATAGTTCATAGTTTGGAAATTAAAAAAATGTTCAACTTATCCGCTCGTTACGTTGCTGGTATTAAAGTTAAAAATATTAAAACAAATGTGCGTTACCGATCTTTGCCAGCACTACGCTTTTGTAGAGTCCACTTGAAACTCTTTCGCGCGTCTAACGGTTACCTGTACTATACCCACACAAAGGAGGTACGCTACAGTCGGAGTGTACCATGACAGTGTCGACCTCTCTGGTCCTGAACAGTGTGCCGCTGCTAACGAAAGAAGGAGCGTTATCGAGGTGTATTGGGATCGGCAACATAGCGGTATCGTACACAAATTATTTAAAAAAAGTCGGTTTCAACAAAATGATCCGAGCAAACTCTACTGTGAGGGCTTACTGAATCAATTTTAAGAACTTTCTGCTTTGAACTTTCTCCTTCTCTCAAAAATAATGTTTGACGTGCACGAATTGACGTTTTCTTCGGGAACGAGTGAAAGCTAAAGTGCTCAAGTGTGCAAGCTCTTTTGAAACATTCATTACCGTTGTCGGTTATCTGTAATATAATGTGAGTACTTGTCGCTGCAGCGCCAGGCACAATTTTGCGAAAAGATCGAGAAGACCGAGTGTTCGCGCCAATGTAAACATTGAAAAAAATTCAAGCAACACCAATCGTAGGCGAGTCGGTTGCTTTGACGCGAACACAATGCTGTTCATGGATTAACTTTTACTAAACTCGCACGCAATTCCGTTGGGTTTGATAGAAAAAAAAAAAATGATTAACTTGGTTTGCACTGCAGAGCACTCGAGTCTGGCAGAAATCCTTTTCGCGCTACTTGCTAGGTGGCCGTTAGATGACGCGACCGGTATATGTTGCCGATCCCAATAGTTGTGCGGTTGAGGATTAACGGGCGCGCGTTGGTGCACCAGAGGAGTCGCGTCGTGGTCTTTTGAATTAACATAAAGTTGTACAAGTAAGTATACGCCGAAAGAGGAAAAAAATATAGTCATGTGGCCGTTCAGCAACACCTGTCAAAGCAGAGCGCGGCTCGTCGGCCGTACGGTCATTATTACCGGAGCTAACACTGGCATCGGCAAGGAGACGGCGCGGGATTTATACTGGAGAGGTGTGATGATTGTTTTTTTTTTTTTTTTTTTTTTACCACTCATTTTCGATTCTTATTTTTATTTTGTACTATTTCTGATATTCGTTCGTGCATTCATTAATTTGTCTTTTTTGTTTCTCGTTCATTGCTCTCTCGTGCATGAAATTTACACAGATTTATTTCATGTGATTTTTTTTTTTTTTTCACAACACTGGATTCAAATAACTTCTCGGATTTCAGCTCGTTAATAAAAGTTTGTTTTAAATTCAAAAATTCGCAATTTACATATTTCAAGTGGCAATGGATGAGTTTTTTTCTTTTATTTTTTATTCAGCGCGTGAAATACTAAACGTTCAACGCTATCGCATATACAAGACAGAACGAAAGTCATTACAAAGTTGCACAACTTACATAAGCTATGGATTAATTTTCAAGATCAAGGAAAGGGTATATCGGGTGTCAGCAAGAGCTATCGGTTTATTACAATCGCCCTGTATCAGCAAATAGATTTACGATCCAACGTTATACACTGTAGCAATTTATCTTGTTTTCCTGATTCAATTTGTCTAGGTGCCAGAGTCATACTGGCATGCAGGAACTTGGAAAAGGCTAAGGAAGCCGTCGAGGAGCTCAAAAATATTCCAACTTCGTCCAAGTATGTCAATTTTTCTTTTTTTTTCTTTTCATCCTCTATTTGAGAAAAAAAAAAAAAACCTTAATTTTTTCTAAAAACCACTAAAAAAAAAATAAAAAAACGCCTAAAAGCATCATTGAGTTCTCAAGAATCCAAGGGAAACGTAAAACTCCGTAACACATAGATTATTATACTTTCTTACTCTTGATGATACGGTTGAAACGTATGATTGTTCGGCCGCGCGAGTACACGAATACAATGTCGTAATAGCAACAGACGTGGGGTTAAAGCGTGGCTTTGACATACACATCATAAACAAAACAATGACAGCGTAAAAAAAAAAATAGCCAAGACAGAGAGGAGTTCCGAGGCCAGCCGGGCGAGCTTGCGGTGTGCAAGCTAAACCTGAGCAGCTTGGCGAGCGTGCGCGAGTGCGCGAAACGGCTGTCCACGAGCGAGCCCCGGATCCACCTGCTGATCAACAACGCGGGCGTGATGGCCTGCCCGAAGGAGAAGACCGAGGACGGCTACGAGCTCCAGCTGCAGAGCAACCACCTCGGCCACTTTTTGCTTACGCTCCTGCTTCTGCCGAAAATCACGGAATCGGTGCCCGGCTGTCGCATCGTCAACGTCTCCTCCATGGCTCACGCGAGTAAGGCTACAAATGTACCATCTTTTTGCGGATTACAATCGTCATTGTTTTCCTTCTTATTCTTTTGTAGTGGGCAAGATACACTTTAACGACTTGATGCTGGATGAATCGTACAGCCCATTAAAGGCCTACCAGCAGAGCAAACTGGCCAACATTCTGTTCACGAAGGAGCTCGCCCGCAAGCTCAAAGGTGATTATTATTTATTTTTTTTTTTTTTTCTTCTTCAAGCGTGCCATTGACCGGTGCGAATCGTCTTCAGAGGCAGGTATCGACGGGGTGAACACGTACACGTTGCACCCGGGAGTTATAGCTACGGAACTCGGCCGGCACTTGGACCGAGCTTTTTTCCCGGGGCTGAGGCTCATGATGAAACTGTGGAGGCCTTTCATCAAGACGCCCGTGCTTGGCGCCCAGACGACCATTCACTGCGCCGTCGACGACAACGCCAAGAACGAGACTGGCTTGTATTACAGGTGGGAAAGGTTTTTCCTCGTTTTTTTTTAATCAAACAGAAAATATAACGTTTGACGATTACTGTTGATACTTTTTTTTTTTTTATTTTTTTTTTTTTTTGCAGAGAGTGTCGAGCCACGAGTCCGTCTATGCAAGCGATGAATATGGACGATGCGGCAAAGCTGTGGATGGAGAGCTTGAGGCTCGTTGGTCTGCCGGAAGTGGAGAAACTTGACGATTTACTGGAATCTATATCGAACAAAGTCATACCGTCCCTGTGAACTTTACCGTTTGGTGCACTTTCGTGAACTGATTTTGGCTCACCTTTTATTCATACGTAGACTTTACTTTGCTGGAATTTTACACGTGATGTAATTATTATTGTTCTTTCATGATATTCGTTGTGGAATGTACCGTTTGAAAAATAAAATGTTTACCTCCAGGCACATTGTATGTATACACCGGGCACTTGATTACAGATTCCATCGTCATTAAAATGACTAATAGGGTGTTTCCCGAACCATGTATGTGTATGTGTATTTTTTTTTCTACTTATTATTTTTGACGTGACACACAATGGATCGAGAAAAAAAAAATAACATCCGTTGATCGACACTTTCAAGGTTGAAAAATTGTCCTCGGATGATTTACGACTCGTCCGAGTCTGAATCAGGTGTAACGGTATTTAATCAATATTCACAAAACAGACGATTTCGATGATTAAATTTCATTATAATACAATGTGTTGTTCGTAATCGTGTGTGTGTGTGTGAGACAAAAATGGAGACGATATGTATAGAGCCTTGAATCGCCAGATTCACGAGAGCATAGCAGAGAGTATACTTACGATCGTTGTCCGCGCTTTCTCTCATTAACGTGATCGAGTCGTTGGGGCTCGACGATAATGACCCGACGAGCTTTTTATTAGGACTACCGATAATGGAGCTACCTTATTGGTATTATTGTGCATCTAATTTTCGTTTATCCTTTACACAACAGCTGGTGTATCTTGTAATCCTCTACGTCCTACGCCCCATTAGATCGAACGTGGTTGGTTTAAGAAAGGATTACCCTTGCAAGACGGGCATTGTTATCTCCCAACGAGAGGTTGAGCTTTCTTTTTTTTTTTTTTTTTTTTTTCTACACACGTTTACCAAGGTGAAATCGAATCGGTCGTCAAAACGAGATTTTTCAGTGATTACGTAAAAGATCTGTTGGCATAGAGGGAAACTTTGAGGCCACGTGTCAGCAATGAAAACTCGATAAGAATACATATATATACCTGTAGGACAAATTAAAAAAAAATTCACTTGTAGTAGATATTGACTTTTTTTCACATCAGCATCCAACGGAATTGACAACAAGTTTACTGTTTAGTGAAATTCGACAACGCCATGCATAAGATAAAATGAAATTATACATGCAGGTGGTCGATTACCTGTCGAACAGATAACAAAATACACATGATAATTTAGGGTCTCTTGAACGCTACAGCTTTGCGTACGAAAATATTTATATCATCGATAAACCAAGAAAAAGTTTTTTTACATAGTCGCTATAATTTATTTGACCTCCAAACATAAACAAATAACGACATAACAAAGTCAAAAATCGGATGCCAAGTGTCACGGAGACCGATACTGCTCGCGCATACATGTATGGATATACCGATGCGTAGCATAGTTCGTAATTATTTTAAACTCGATGGGGAGCATTTGCTAGGTACGTATTGTGAGAGCAAACACAAATAAAATCGAATGAGTTAATAAATTCCGACAACGGAGCTCTGTTCTTTCGAATCCATGGGCCGTTACGTACATTTTAACTGTAGTATAGGTGCATACATCTTTTGTCTTGTCACGCGATACTGCATAATTCACCCCATCAGCCTTTGCATTGTTTTTCTTTCGCTCATGCGAAAAGAATTTCAAACTTTGAAATACCAATTGCAGCTGTCAGCTGATATGTGTCAGTCACCATCCGATTTTTAAATCAATTGTCAAGCCCATTTATTTACAAACTAGAGGAAAATTATTTTCGTTCCAATTATTCGTGCCTCGTGTTTTTTCAACTCTATTGTTGAAATTCCATTTTTTTCTTTTTTTTTTTTTTTTTTTAAGTAAAAATGTATGCTATGCCATTAAAAGTAACCTAGACGAGCGTAAATTGGGCCTTGAGCCAAAAAAGCATCGACACGAGCATAATTTTGTGAAAACCTTTATTAAGGATTCTGAAAAAATGTAAAAAATTGTCTTAAGTTTTAATTTTGGTATGGCAATTGATTTTATGAAATTTTACCGAATTTTCCAATGAACTCAACTTTCAACAATAATTTCTGTTTGTTTCAAAAAACGCTTTTTAAAACTACTAGTCCCCTTAAAAATAAAAAATAAAAGAAAGCAATTGGCTTCACAAAGCGTCATACTCGTTGTACATTTTTCCATTTTTCCATAAGTGCCGTGCGGAGGGCAAAGATCGTCCTGTTGGAAAAAAGATTTTTTTTTCTAGGAAATTGATAACTCAAGTATTTTTTGTGTAATTTCACATGTATCCAGTCCATGTAGCATTGCATTGTGCAACTCACAGTAACGACTCTGTTAATACAGTCCCAACCCTCCCTATTGTTCTGTGACTAATACATCCTTCTTCCGCTTTCTTTTTCATTGTTTTTTTTTTTTCGTTTTTGTTTTCATCTAGATTTTGGTGCGTGTCAATTGTAACAAATATCTTGTTCAAGGGCGTTATTTCACATTATTTTTCCCTAAAAAATAATTTATTCACCTATTTCACATGCACAGAAGAAAAAAAAAAAAAAACTCTAGACTTGTACACACTTTCTTTTCGCTAACGAGTCACTTTTATAAGGATTAATCCCAACACAAGTGCACGCAGCACTTCATAATACCCACTAAGTACGTCCATCGCCGGCGTGAATCGCTGCTGTGTAGGTAATAATTATTCCGGTAAGCTGCACGTGTATGAGCGCACGGTGCCCCACGATAATTTATCCGCGTAGCTATGTACTCTCCCCTGTATGTACCAAAGTCACATATTTTATGTACAACTTTAACTAATTATTAAGGTACTTTTGCTTGTACTTCCGAGCTCAATTTAAGTACACGTTTTATTTTGCAATGCATTGCTTTTTTTTTTTTTTTTTTTTTAATTGTGACAACCTCATGCAGCGTCCGTGGATGCATATTCGCGTGGCTGTAGTCTAATCGTTGTTAATTTATGTACCCATCTGCAACGTAATGAGCGTATATTTACGGCAGTTGAAGCGTCAACTGTGCAAAAAATATTTGCGCAAGGGCTCGCCAAGCGATGCACTCGATGGTAGCATCGGTAAAAAAAGGAAAGAAAGAAAAATAAACAAGTGTGCACGCAAGATGAGATCGGCCCACGGTTTGGTCTCCTTTTTCAGTCGGCAGGTTCCAGCGCGATCTTATTGATTATTAATGTATACTCGACGTCGTACAGGTGAGATGCCTCATGTTTTCTATTACAGGTGAGATCACTCGAGGATCAGAAGCAAGGCCACGCCGATCGTCAAGCACAAACACGACCCTGAACTATTGCCGACTTTTTTATTCTCCATGCATTATTTATATATATACCTATACCATTTTGCTAGAGCCTTAAATCATCGCTGAGCTGCACCGTAACGTATCATTTACTGGACCAGTATATAATAATTATACATACACGAGTCGGACAGTTTACCACAAATTTGCAAGTTTGTGTGTCGCGCGTTACGCAATCAACGTACAAGTACCACCACAACCGTGGCGTGCAATCGAATTATCCAATCGCTCGTGCAGGTCGTGTAAGTATTTCAAGGTGAGGAATCGGCCGCAACGCAAATCCTTCCGACTCCCACGCGATCCGCGATCGAGAGGGGACGGCAAAAAAATAATCAAATTCCGCGCTCATACGTTGCGCGCCGCGGATTCCCAGTAAGTGGAAGAAGAATATATGTCACGAGTCAAACGAATTGCATGCGTTTGCCCACGTTTTGTTTGCTCAAATCTGTAGAGGACTTGTGTTTGGCGATCGACAAACATACCGATTTTTTAAATTCTCCCATCGTTGCGTCAATCACGTGCCACTGTATTCATAAATTCCGGCGGATGTATTATACAAACGCTCTTTGCCAATGTGATATGCATGTATATGTATGCGCGATGAGACGCTACTTCGTTAGAAAGTGGCCTTATAATTTATTACGCGCGCGCTCTCACGGTCACCTTTTAGCGAGAGAAAACAGATGTTTGCTTTTTTCGAAAAAATTCTCAGTTTTATTCGCGATTTCACAACGTACTCTTGGTCTTTCGATTCTCGAGTGGATCGGAACAACCGAACTTCCCCAAAAGGAAGATCGGCAAGTAACCGATTTGGCTAAACTAACGCCTAGTCTGGCAGGTAGCGATAGGAAACAGGAAAAAAAAGTCGATCGTCCCACTTGATTTTACAAGGCTCACCTCCGCAGTGTCGTATTGCGATGCCGAGCAAGCAAAGCCGGCCAAACCTGCTCCGCCCGCGATACGCGACGACATGGGAGACAAGTTCGGCGCGAGCTACGCACTTTGTTTCGTCAACATGTTCTCTCGGATTCTTCCTGGTGCTTTTGCAAGCCGCACTTCCTACCCCCTCTCATTACCATTGGATTTTTCGTCGAGTTGATGGGAAAAAAACAACCGCGGCGATTGCACAGTGCCCGCGTACATCTTACTCGCGTTTACTACAGCGCGTGAGAAAAACCGATCTCGGGCGGACGGGCGAGTGCTTGGATTTTTGTGCGTGCGAAATTCGGTACGAAGCGTTGGAGCTTGAAAATGAGGCGCTTAAATTTTGGACTCTTGGTGAGTGCTCTTATTTCCACACAAGTGTGGTATTTTTTACCGTATATCCAACTGCAGTTGCCCGTTTATTATACCGATCTCCGGCATATCATTTTTTTATCCAGTTCAATGTCGATTTCAGCAGCATTTTAATTTCAAATGCAAGATCATCTACGCGTGCATGTAGGCCATAGCATAAGTAGCAGTTGCCGGTTCTAAGAATGGAAGCTTATGTCATGGTATTTCCCAACTTTCTGGCGTACTGCAGAATTTTTAATTGAACCAGCTAATGATCGGTGTTGGACAAAATTGTGCGAATTGGAAAGTTGAAGAAAAAAAAAAAAAAAAAAAAAAAAAGGAGTTTAATGCGTAAAAGGGAGCAAAAGGTCCCGAGCCGATTTCACTCGAGATCGGAAGAAGGGAGTAAAGAGAGAATCGGCAAATTAAGTGATAAACTACGAGCAAAGGAAGGGAGTTTGAGATTTTTCACGGCACATCCGACTGTCACTTCCGATCTGTTGTATACTGCACCTGACGAGCCCAATAATATATATATATGAGCAATAATTGTGTAGCGGCACTCGATCGCGTTCTGTACCCTACCG